GAGAGAGAGAGAGAGAGAGACGATAAGTCTCCAACGTTGGCCAACAGCTAAGTCTCCAACCCACGCCTCATACCGTGATCGATAGAATGAGCAAATCGAAAAGTGGCAGTGTATATTTACACGTTTCGGTGGAAGATTCATTCCGTTTTTGCTCATGCTATCGATGGAATGTGTGTGTGTGAGACGTTCATGATTCGACCAAGGCGGGGGAGAGAGAGAGAGAGAGAGAGAGAGAGAGAGGAGGACAAGAGTATGCTACGATGGAGGAGGAAGTGGTGGCGAAGGAGGAGCTGTCTACAATGTAGTAGCACAACTAGGCGAAGGAGGAGGGTATGATGAAGGACGAGGAGGAGCATGCAGCCCACCCAAGAAAAAAAAAAAAAAAAAGTCCAACTACATGAACTTTTGTTTTTCGGAAAATAGATCGGAACCTACGAAAGACGATGACAAGGACGGAAATATAAAAGACAAAAGAAAACGAGCCTTGACTCTCTCTCTCTCTCTCTCTCTCTCTCTCTCTCTCTCTCTCTCTCTCTCTCTCTCTCTCTCTCTCTCTCTCTCTCTCTCTCTAGGTCCCTTGGCCAAATTGGTCGAGGCTACGAGTGATCCGAATCTGCGCTATCTACTGCAGATGTTGAGCGGGGGGTTCCTGCGGAGGAGACGGGGTGTTACGGATACCGGGGGTCCGGGGTACTAGGTCGGTGGGTACAATTAGGAAATAATGGATAAGGGGTACCAAGTGGGTTAGGGACAGGGATAGCGAATAGGGAAAAATACTGGCAGTAGGAAAAGCGGGGTATGTCACGAGAAAATCGGCCTAGAAACTGGGTTAAATAGGATAGATTCGAGGCCGGGGCCTCGTGACTTACCTGAGATGGGGGGGGTACGGCTGCTGTTTGAGACCTGGCGGCTAGGCCAGGGGATTTTCTTGAAATCATTTTTTTGAAAATTTATATCTTCTTGAATCTTGTCAATCCGGTAGTCGGAGGGAGAGGGGACAACGCGGGGGCGGGCCAGAGTACAAGTACGGCAGCAGGGCCAACGCTGTCGTGAGCTGAGGGATTTCGATCCTACCTCCTGATGAGTCCGAACGTAGTCGGACGAAACCGGTCGGGGATGCTACGAGCTCAGGGGAAGAGTAGTGGTGATGGCAGGGCCATGGTGGAACAAGATGAAAGGGAAGGAGAGGGGATGGCAGAGGGAGGTCAGGAGAGTTTTATTCGTGCTCGTGATTCTATATCTCTTGTGTCATTCTGATTTTACTGTAAGCTTGAAAGTTGCTATGACTGTGTGGCCGCAGTTTTCCTGCACTCCAGGGCGCATGGTAACCGGGAGCACTGAGAACTCTACGGTGGCTATGTCTACATCGGCATCGGCTTCGGAATACCTGGGTTTAACGAGGGATCTGACGAGGTAGGTTAACGCTATAGATACAGAGACTAGGAGGGGGTTAGTCGTAAGGATGTACAGGGGTGGACAGAATCAGCGAGGAGGGATGGGAGGCTACGGGAACGCGGGCGGGGGCGACAACGGATATGGCGGGTACGCAGGCAATAACGGGAACAACGTGGACACAGGTGGTAGTATGGGTGGTAACTCGGGTGGATACGGGGGAGGCGCCTCAGGTGGTAATGGCGGAATGGGGGGTAGACAGCCCCCTACGTGTTATACGTGCGGTAAGCCGGGTCATTACTCTCGCGATTGTTGGATGAAGCGGGGACGGCAGGATGACAGTGAGATGGAGGAGATACGGCAGCAGCATAGGGTGATGATGCAGGAGAGGCGTGAAGCTGAGGAAAAGAGAAGAGCTGAAGAACAGAGGAAACTACACGAGGAAAATGAGAGAAGACGTGAACAGGATATGGTTCGACGTACGAGATTAGGCTTCAACTAGAGGCGGGACTTGAGGAGAAGTGGAGACAGCAGACAAAGCAAGCGGTAGAAGCGGCCGCAGCGGCGAAGGCGAAAGTCGAGGAGGCGAAAGCTAGGGCGGAAGAAGCGCATGCCAAGGCAGAGGAGGCACGGGCCAATTTTGAGAGAGCGAGGATCGAGAAGGTGAAGATGAGTGCGCGCAAGACAAGAGACACGCCGGCGAGCTCAAGTAGGAAGAGAGGCAGGGAGTATGAATCGGACGAAGTGACTTCGGAAGATACAGAATCGGACGACGACACCACTGACTCGGACGAGGAACTGAGGAGAACGATCGAACGTTTGAAGATGGAGAAGAGAGCGAGGAAGTCGGGAAAGAGGGGAAGACCAAAGAAACGGGAAAATATGGCGAATGAGAAGACACCCTATAAGACTCCTGATAAGATTCAGTCCACGACGGAACGGGGAGAGTGTTCGAGAGGGAAGGCACGAGTTAGGCGCAATCGTGAGGATATGGAAGATGTTTTGAGGAATACTAACGACATTGGATGTGGCTTCGGGGAGCCAGGGGATGAGAGCAATCAATGTCGGGACTCACAGAGGATGGGAGGGATAAAGTTTAACATACCGAGGGGCGACGGTGAGATGCGGACGGATGAACCAAAGACACCTATGGAGAACGGCTACAAGGGTCTGGCGGCAAAATGTTCCAGGGAGGGCATTATCGACAACTGTCTATCGACACAGAAGATCCTATCTGCTAAGAAGGCATCGATGCTGCGTAAGGTGTGTCAGAGGAAAGGCATCAGATATACGAGGAAACCGGAGATCATCGATGTCCTGGCTAGGGAGCAAGTGAAACTTGCATACGAAGGTTTTGCGGAGGCGGAAACGGAGCCAGGGGAGGAGGAGGGAGCGGAAGTGAATCTGGGGGATGATATGGCGGGACCTGAAAAGAAAGGTACGAGGTCGTCGGTTCAGTCAGCACCGGTGAGAGTCACTTTGAGATCGGCGAAGAAGCAGAAAGCGCAGGAGTCAGATTGACTACCTGCGCCCCCTACGACCGTAACGCTATGGGAGACTCTGAAATACCATATGCGGATGCGGTCATCCCTCTGGGGGCAGGGGCGGAGCAGTGAACAGCTAGCGGAAATTGAGCGCGTTATCACGACTACGACTGTTCTTTTGACGTTAAGGGGGCACATAAACTGGTTGACTAACTATCTTATGTGATCGGAGATCACTTTGAGCATGTTGGATCTGAAGGACCCAGGTGTCTACATCGTGGCATCGCCATGGTCGAAAAAGGTGTACGTGGGTAGTACTATCCGCAGCACCATGCAGAGATGGCGTGAGCATCTGAGCAACGCTGACACAGAAGTCATCGGGAGCTCACTGAAACTGTACCGTTGGATGCGCCATTTCGGTCCGGGTAATTTTGTGATTATCCCGGTCAGACACGCGAATGAAGAGGATGACCGGGCCTTCGAGAGACACCTCATTCAGGACTTTACACCTTCACTAAACACGTGCAACACTAGCGATCGAGGGACAGGGAAGGCTCGAAACAGGAGGAAAGGTAAGAGGGAGAGGAAGAGGCTGAAAACGGGACAGTGTGAGAGGGTGAAGTGCGTCGTGAGTTTCACGCACGATGGAGGGTACGAACGGAGGGTATCGTTGAAGACGTGGTTGGAGGAAGAATGGATGAAGAACACGAAGGGCGAGAGAAGGGTACAGTTCCACGGGGGAGAGATATGGTCGGACGGGTGGAGGGAGATAAAGAGAATTTTTGGGATGACGAAGGTAAGGATTAACGGCAAGGTGAAGAAATTGTCCTCGATCAAGGGGGAATTGCAGCGGGGAACGACGGCAGTATTCATTGGGATCACTAAGACCACAACGACAACGGCTACGTATATGCAAGAACTAAGATGGATGCTAAAGAAACCGGTTTTATTCAAGAAAATGGTGAGTTATACCACCAACCAGCTGGTGGGAATGTTCCGGGTTGCAGGCTTCTTTAAGGGGAAGAAGGCCAAGAACGATTTGAGACTGAAGATTGACAAAGCCGTGAAGAAGAAGACCGGGGTGGGTATACGGAAGAGGGTGCAGGTGAAGATCACGTATGACAGACAGCTAGTGAAGAGGGAGATAAGACAGGCGACAGAGTGTGTGGTGGGTAGAAAGGTGAAGGATGCAGCCGTCGCTAATCAGATCAAAGAAAGGGTACGGGTGACTTGGAAACAGAACATGACGGTGGGGGAGATTATGCATAATCACCGGAAACATGCACACGCTGGGGAACAGTTCTGCACATGCAGGACAGCTGGTCTTCCTACCATAGATGGGCACGTGCTCACTCGGTTTTCCGATTTGGAGGATATACCAGTTTTTATGAAAAATAGCAAAAATGTGACATGCAGGTCGAGGGGTGACGCCACTCAGGCGGTCGTGCAAGCTATCGTCGAGGGGACGAATCATCTGGGAGGGAAGATGGAGGATGTCGACATACCAGCCAGCGGTTTCAAGAGTAAGGAAGAGATGGGGGCACGTGGGCAGGACAGGTGGGATGAAGAGCAGGTGGCGAAGTGGTGTATGAGATTCAAGGGGCTGGTACTTGCCCCGGTGGACCGCAATCAGGGCGATACGACAGTTGTCTGCCCTGTTATTTATCGACACGCCTTTGGTAAGATTTTCGCGTGGAACCGTGACTACGAAGATGTACGAGAAAAGGAGCAGGACATCCTGCTGAGAGCGAGGAGCGTTTTTGAGCAAGCCAACCTGCATAAGATCGCCGCGTGGAAGATGGACGGGCGAACTGGACGGGCATATATCATTCCGAAGGATAAGGACCTTGGCAGATGGAGACCGATAGCTCCGGCCACAGGTGACCCGACAGGGACGGCGCAGCGCAAGGTGGCTAGGGCGCTGCACTACCTTATGAAGCTGTTCCCGAAGGAGCAGACTTTTTACCTCAATCCGATTCAGGAGCTACCTGCAAAGCTGGAGACGGTGCAGAAGAGATTGACAGAGATCGGATGTACCGGGGCGGAGGGAAGATGTTACGACATCAAAGACATGTTTACTAAGATACCGCATGATGCGGTTCGGCGGGCGGTCTAGCAGATACTGGTATGGTATACCAACAGAGGGTGGAGGCAGGTTAAGGTGTCCAGGAGAGGTAGAATGTGTACGCTGCACAAGACATGCACGGCGACGGATGGCTATATGGGCATCCGCTTCGAGAGTGTTTTTGCGATGGTTCAGTACGATCTCAGCAATGCATATGTCGGTTGCGGACAGGTGATGAGGAGACAGATATCCGGAATCCCTATGGGGAAATGTACGAGCCCGTTCCGGGCCACGATTACTTGTGCGATGGCAGAGTTCAATATGCTGAAGGGGCTAGGCGTGGATCGAAAGTTGGTTGGCGGATGGAGGATCGTAGATGACATCACGGTGGTGGTGGGCAGGCAGGCAACAGAGAGGAGTTCGAATGAAGAGGTTCTCGGGAGGATAGAGACCAGCCACGATGAGAACCTGACTCTGGTCAGAAAGGACGGAGGGAAGGACTGGTGGCAGTTTCTAGGCGGATCCTTCTACCTGCTGCAACAGCCAGTGAGACTGATGTTCGTCCAGGGGATGATGAACATGGTGGTACTAAGGGAGACTGCCAACATAAAGTATCAGACGATGCAAGACTATGCATCGTACTCAGAGAAAAAGTCAAAAAAGTCTACGCTGGCGGCCACCCTGAAGAGATTGTGGAGCTCGACTTCATGCCAAGTCTTGGTCGTCGGCTCGATAGCCTATACGTTGTGGGAGACATACCTCCGGGGCTATGCCCCGGAGGTCTCTCTAGGTGCCTTGGCCAAATTGGTCGAGGCTACGAGTGATCCGAATCTGCGCTATCTTCTGCAGATGTTGAGCGGGGGGTTCCTGCGGAGGAGACAGGGTGTTACGGATACCGGGGGTCCGGGGTACTAGGTCGGTGGGTACATTTAGGAAATAATGGATAAGGGGTACCAAGTGGGTTCGGGACAGGGATAGCGAATAGGGAAAAATACTGGCAATAGGAAAAGCGGGGTATGTCATGAGAAAATCAGCAGAGAAACCGGGTTGAATAGGATAGATTCGAGGCCGGGGCCTCGTGACTCACCTGAGGTGGGGGGGATACGACTGCTGTTTGAGACCTAGCGGCTAGACCAGGGGATTTTCTTGAAATCGTTTTTTTGAAAATTTATATCTTCTTGAATCTTGTCAATCCGGTAGTCGGAGGGAGAGGGGACAGTGCGGGGGCGGGCCAGAGTACAAGTACGGCAGCAGGGCCAACGCTGCCGTGAGCTGAGGGATTTCGATCCTACCTCCTGATAAGTCCGAACGTAGTCAGACGAAACCGGTCGGGGATGCTACGAGCTCAGGGGAAGAGTAGTGGTGATGGCAGGGCCATGGTGGAACAGGATGAAAGGGAAGGAGAGGGGATGGCAGAGGGAGGTCAGGGGAGTTTTATTCGTGCTCGTGATTCTATATCTCTTGTGTAAAAACTCTCGTGGGAAGAAAGATACTTTCATTCTGATTTTACTGTGAGCTTGAAAGTTGCTATGACGGTGTGGCCGCAGTTTTCCTGCACTCTCTCTCTCTCTCTCTCTCTCTCTCTCTCTCTCTCTCTCTCTCTCTCTCTCTCTCTCTCT